ACTGTGGAAGTTAGGCTAGCTTAACAAAGGCTAATGCTACTAGCAAAATAGTTAAGAATTTGAATTTCGGTGGTTTAGCTTTGCTTTTTTAACATATGACTGTGCCAAAAATCCAAGGGGTGAGGTCTACCTAGCAATAAGAACAGCACACTAATGCTTTGGAGATGTAGCAAGCAATTTGAATGTCATTTTACAAGTAATGAATGATCTAAATGATCCTAGTAGAAAGTTTTGCTTTCCTTTTGCCACAAAGGAGAACGTTATGACTGTAAAGGTTTTTTTTGTTTTGCTTTGTTTTTTTAATTTCGACCTTTATAAAGTCAGTGTTTCAGATGTGCCTGAAGACAAATGAACTGAATAGCTTATAGTTTGCGAAGAGTTGCTACTGCAATTCACCATTATTTAGAGGCTTCAGGAAGAAATCGTTTGATTTAAAACTCAGTCCTGCACTTCCAAGTTAATACAAATTTGTCCCTTTCTTTCAGTGAGAGCAGGATTAAGCCCACATTTGTAAGATGTCTTTCTAGGCTTTCAAAATTAGTAGTAGGCTCACTAGTCAACATCCTCATTCAATTTCCATGTTTGTATTCCCTTTCATACACACACAGACACATCCATATGCACAGGAAATCCTGTTTGGGGGTCCTGCCTGGAGTCTCCTTATGCCACTATTGTTAGTGCCGTCAGTTGGTAACTTGTCTAAATCTGATCTGGGCACATCCACTCCTCCTATTCCCCTCCGGTGGGTTGGTTTACAGTACTCTGTCTTCCACTCCCAGCTGTTTCAGTCAGTTCAGCAGCAAAGCATTTCTCACCGTCAGTAAAGAGATGCCTGTGAGCTGGAGTAAATTTACTCTACTGACCGCTTGCTCACAACGTCAGTCAAGCCTCTGTTTTAACGTGTCTGTTATTTTGCTTTGCCTGTTGTCCTGGCCTCCCAACACAACACTTATGACCTATGGACACTTTGTCTTAGTGACCATAGTGTTTAATTGGCACTCTGAGGGGGCACCATAAAGCTCTTAGTCTCTTAGTCTACTAGAAGGGCAATAATGTCATATGGGCATTCACCATCAAGCTTTCAGCTCTTTAAAAAGATTACAGACTGGTTAGTTGTCTTGTGGCTTGGTCTTAGAACTGAGTAAACCCTTTTCTTCCCAGAGATTCTTCTACTGAGTAGAAGTACATCCTGGAAGAACATCCTTGTCCAAGAGATAGCTTTGTATGAAGTATAGTGCTTGAAAGTTCATATTTTTCAGTGCCTTTAGTGTTATATTAATTTTTAATCAAATATGCTCCATTTGCAAGTAGATTTCCCCCTGCTTCTCTTTGCTATAGTTACTCTTATTCCTCTCTCAAATTCTGCGCTAGTTTTAACATCCAAGTTCAAAACTGCCTGCAGACTGCATGTGATGGCCACTGGCTAGGGGGTCAACCTCTGCCCTCATTTAGTGTGGGCTCCATTGCCTTCTAAAGTAATAGTCTCTGTTTTTATTATACCTACACGCATGCTTTCTTAGCTGTGTTGGTCCTTGCACAGGCACAGAAAATATAATGCAGGTAGAACTTCTTACTGAACTTAGCAGCTATGGCTCTCGGCACATACAAGCCAAGATTTAAAAACATGAGTAGTGATTTCACAGAAATCACAGAAACACTAGGTTGGAAAGGACCTTCAAGATCATCAAGTCCAACCATTAATCCAGTGCCACCATGTCCCCTAGACCATGTCCTGAAGCGCCACATCCACATGTTTCTTGAACACTTCCAGAGATGGCGACTCCACCACCTCCCTGGGCAGCCTGTTCCAATGCCTGACCACCCTCTCAGTGAAGAAATTTTTCCTAATATCCAATCTAAACCTCCCCTGTCACAACTTGAGGCCATTTCCTCTTGTCCTATCACTAGTTACTTGGGAGAAGAGGCCAACACCCTCGTCGCCACAACCCCCTTTCAGGTAGTTGTAGAGAGCGATAAGGTCTCCTCAGCCTCCTCTTCTCCAGACTAAACAACCCCAGTTCCCTCAGCCGCTCCTCATAAGACTTGTGCTCCAGCCCCCTCACCAGCTTCGTTGCCCTTCTCTGGACACGCTCCAGCACCTCAATGTCCTTCTTGTAGTGAGGGGCCCAAAACTGAACACAGTATTCAAGGTGCGGCCTCACCAGTGCCAAAGATTTGGGGGTTTTCAACTGGACATCATTAATGGGCCTGTCTGACAGTCAACAAAAGGGGATTAGTTTATATGGTCATCTGCTGTATCAAGGGATTTCAATCAGTGACCTTAGAAGTCCTTTCCACTCTTATGTACTGAATCTGAACCCTGAGAAACTGTCTTCAGAGTGATAATTGCCAAAAAAGCACTGGTGGTCCTTTTAATTCCTATTCAGAGGGAGTAGGTGTGTGGAGTGAAGTGTATCAGCTTTACACGGTCACCTTCAAAAGTGGAATTGCTAGGAAAATCCTAATTTTTTTTCCTGGAACTGTTTTGAAGCTGTGTGTATCTTTCTTTAAAATAAGAATTGTGATGCTGCCTTATCGGTGTGTCAGACATCCAGAATGTCATGCTGACCGGACATCATTTTCTGCTTTTCTGGTAACATGAATGATATGAAGCCTGAGAAGGAAAAAAGGAACTCTCCTTCCCTACCCATTGCACACAGAAGGCTGATGCTCCTAAGTGTGTGAGGTCCTTAGATGACAGCGGATGGTTGCTAATAGGATACTCAGTCTTTCATCCCTGGATCACTAGTTCAAATGCAGGTCAGATCAGTAGCTAGTCAAGTACTACCTGGCTGTTATTGTCTGGCTTGTGAGATGAGCTGAACTGTGTGTCTTAACTTTGAACCCAGGCAACCATATAATTTCTCTTTCTGCATAGCAGATTGTAAATGCTATAAACTTAATGTCAGTATCATAAGGAAATTAAAATACCAGCAGGTCTTACACATGTCTACAGGTAACAGCAGCTGATGTGAGCTGTCCTCTGGTGGCTGAGTTAAGTGTGTGACTGCAGGCCCTGGAAGAGGCGTTTGCTGCCTTTAAATGTGTCTGAACATAAACTAAAGAGTTTTTATCTTCTCTGAGAAACGTCTGTCACATTTAGGAGATGGTCAGTGCTTTTGGTTTTGCTATGCCTGCCACCATCAAATTTCTGGTCATTAAGTGAAAATTCTCTGTGATGCATTGCCGTATGTATCATCAGCTTGGAGGTACTCAGTTTCTTTGCTTCATAGAGCAAAAGAGCTTACTGTGGCAGACTCTTTCTGTTGAGATTCACTCCTGTATCAGAACATAGGATTGTAATACAAGCTGAGAAGAAAGCCCAGAGTAAAGTGAGGTCTCTGGTTCTCTCTCTTATGCTGCAGTAAGGGAAGGGATTGTTATAAAAATTGTGTGACTTGCGGAATTAGTAATTAATATTTTCTTCATAAATGTCATGTTTTCAGTATAAGAAAAGGTTCTGGCATTTGTGTCTATACTCAGCTCATGAAAAGGGTCTTTTGGTTGCTGCTGAGAGAGAGGTCATGCTGCTGGAAGTCACTGACAGTGGGTGTTGTCACCCCTCAGGACTGGCAGGTGCAGCAGGTGAGCCAAGAATTGAATGGAAACTGCGTTATGTTCCTCTCAACAGGTGGTCTTTCCAGGTCAAGTTAAAATATCTTTTGATACTTGTTTTATCACTTAGGACGTTCAGGCTGTTACTGCTCACTGGGTAAATAATTTTCTGAATCTGGCCTCTGTCAACTTCCCCTCTCTCCCAAATATGCTTTTGAGACTTCAGGCATTCCCAGGGTGCAGTGGTTGCTGCCAGTCTCATTTAGCATTAGGTGACTCATTAAGCATATGCATGTACTTGCAATGAAACTAAGAGCCAGCTTTTAGCTATTGCTAATGCATCATCTTTCTTGGTTGAATCTTATGCTGTCAGTGACTTTCTGGTACATTGGAATACCGTAGATCCAGCATCTCCAAATGGGGGAAGGATCCAGGAGATCCCATCCTTACCCAGGCTATTCTTGCAACTGAATCTTGTGAAATGTCTGACACAACATGCACATGTCTGTTCTTACCTTTTTCAGTTGTCCTGGAAAGAACTGAGTAAGATTTTAACTGATTCTTGTCACTATGGGATAATTATGTTTTTAATGAAGCAAGAGATAAAAACATTAGCCATTTAGTTACTTACATACCCTCCTAGCTTTTCTCTGGGTTCAGTTATTTCTGGGCAAGCATTTTAGCTGATGTTGCTTGATCAAGGCTCATATTTAAGCAAAAAAAGTCATCCTTACACTGGAATAAGAGTGTACACAAATACTATGGAAAGCTTGATCTTCAAAGAAAAGCTTTATGAGTTAATAAGTGCTTTTTAAACAGATAGTTACACTGGTTACAGAGTGGAGTTAGCAAGAGAGGGATAGTGCTGGTGTAACAGTACTTGCTGTAGGTGTTTGAGACTATGGATGAGATGTGGGAATACTTCCAGCCATGGACAAATTCATGGGAGGAAAGGCCACAGGTTCAAGACGGATGGGAGCCATAGCACGTTTCAGCCAGGTCTGTGATCTGGAAAAATCTGGAGGGCTGAAACATTTGGGCATGGATAGTGTGACCTGGTCTCCATATTGTACAGCATTTCAAGATCCTGGGTAAAAGGACAGCAGTATTACATTCTGATTTTGTCCAAAATGAGCAGATTTTTGTTAGCTGCTTCCCAGAATGTGATGTCTGCAACAGTGCACTACTTGGAGAGGGGCCAAATTGACTGTGACTGGGGATGAGATTAAGATGGAAATTTTTGTCCTCACAACATCTTCTTGAAGGATGGTCAGATTTCAGTTTAGATCAGGATTTCACAAACATTTCCAGCCGGACGAAACTACTGTCAGTGTCAGCTTGCAGGCTGATGCCAGGCAAGCAATGCTTCATAGTGGTACCCCTGCCACAATCCAGGAACCTTGATCTTGGGACAATCTCCTAACATTCCCCATCTTGTTTTCCAGATCTAGAGACAAACAGTGATCTCAACAGTGATGACTTTGAATATGAAGATGAAGCAAAACTCATTATATTTCCTGATCACTATGAAATATCATTACCCAATATAGAAGAGTTACCAGCACTGGTCAGTGAGTGTGTGCAAGTGGTGATAGGAGTTGTCTCCTGCTTCAGTTTTTATCAAGATGGTGCTTTGTTTTTCTTACATGTGGTGCTTGTTTTTACACAAAGATCTTTCTTAACCAGCTATAATAGAGAGTCAGTAATTTTTAAAAGTCTGCTTTGTCTTTGTTTCTTCCGATTTCCTTTTACCTCCTGTACTCTTTCCTTTATGATGCCTGCTTGTCCCAGGGAAGTGAAGTTCACATAGTACATGTTGTGCTTACTATCCTGCTAAAATAATAACTGCCATCTAGAAGATTACTTGTATATTTAAATATATAAATAGTCTTCCTGATACTCAGTTCTGTATGTGGTTAGAATGGGCTAAATGCCAAGTTCTGTGCAGTCACTGAATCATGTTAGGTTTTGATTGACATATGTTTGTCTTCCAGGTGACAATAGCTTGTGATGCACTTGTCAGTGCAAAATCACCCTACAGGAAGCAGGACCCTGACTCCTGGGAAGACGAGCTACAGGCATCTAAACATGCCAAAACACTTGTACAGTTAGACAATGGTGTTAGAATTCCCCCCAGGTGAGGGAAAATAAGGTTTGTTCATTGTAGGCTTTCTAATATAGTCCAGAGTTAACAGAACTAAAGCCAGCAACTCGGCCAGCAATTCTCTTGCATGCCTCTGGACTGGATGTGTATGTTTGGTTTGACCTACCATAATTGGAAATACAGGACTAGTTCCTGCCTTACTTATTTCTGCCATTTCTTCCTGTTTTCTCTTGCAGCGGTTGGAAATGCTCAAAATGTGACCTGCGGGAGAATCTATGGCTAAACCTGACGGATGGTTCTGTGCTGTGTGGAAAGTGGTTCTTTGATGGCAGTGGGGGGAACGGGCATGCAATGGAGCACTACAAGGAGACAGGTTATCCCCTGGCAGTGAAATTGGGAACCATCACTCCTGATGGAGCAGGTTAGCTACCTGGCAGGTTCTGAGGTGGGGTATCTTTTGTGCATGAGACTAACAGTGTATATCTATTACCAAGTGGGTTTGTGCTTCTAGTGCTTCTAGTGATATGGAAAGAAAACCCTGTGAGTCTGTGAATCTTGATTGGGGCTGGGGGGAATGACACACACTCCAGTTGGAGAAAGCCCTTTTTTTGTCTGCTCTTCTCCTCCTAATTTATGTTTGGTGTAAATAGTATTTTGGGCTTGTATAATAGTGGATTTATAATAGAAGAATGGTATTATTTTGAAACGGCAGAATCTGGAGAAACAATATTTTCCAGTTCTGCTACATTTGCTAGGGCAAATGGTTCAATCTTATGTAACATAGAAACAATAACGGGGTAATGATTTTTAAAGTCAGAAAAGTCCCTTCTTAACAGCATGTATTTTTTTTTTTTTTATCATTCTGGAAACCGCACTGGTTTTCCTTATGGTTTCAGTAACATTTTGTTCAGTCTAATGAACACTTATCTTCATGGGGCTGCTATGATGCTCATTTGTAAAATGCCTGATGACCTTGAGAGGGAAAAAAGCTATAGATGTATCCTTGCTTGCATATTCTCCAAGTGTGATGTTCTGCAGTGTTGCCGTGGAGAGGATTATGATGTGTGAGGATTAGATGGAGTAAAAACATGAGAAACTGAAAAAGTCATAAGCAAAGAGATCCTTTGCTGCAGCTGTACAGATACAAAAAGCGGAAGAACACATAGCATGATTATATTTTGGTTTTAGTGCTTATGGCCATATGGATGAAAAATAGCTCTTTAGAGCAGCCCCCTTTTTTTAAGACCTGTCAGTTGAGAGTTTTTCATCTTCAAGTCCTATTCAGTGATGAATACAGGAGACTGTAGTCAGATCCAACCAGCTGTGCCACAGAAACACTGAGCAAAATTCATTCTTTTCTCTTCCAGATGGAAGATTGTTTCCTTGCATGAGCCTGGTCTTGGATGATTTATATCCGAATCTCTCAGTTATTGAAGGTGTTTAGAATTTGCCCTGCTGTAGGTTTCAACTGCATCTACAGAATAAACAGAATATTCCTTAGTGGGTTTTTTTTCAATTTTTTTTTATTTTCTTTCTCATCTTTAGCAGCAGTACTTGTTTCCTTATGGCTGCTGTCTTCCTGCCTCCCACCGATCAGCTGCTTCCTCTCTTATGTGGCCTTTGGGATAACAAAGGACAGGCTGTCATCCTTCCCTCTGAATGAGGGGCACCAGCTGTTCTCCACAGACCTTTGTTCTTCTGGATGACATTTACTTGGTTTCCCTATAGAAAAGGCTTCCCTCCCCCAACCCTCCTTGTTTCCTTTTCAGTAATTATTGTCTCTCTGATCTATGTTGCAGTGGTAATCATAACCTCTCGCTAGGGCTGGATGACAGATGAGCTTGAGGAAAAAGGCTCCATGGCTGTCTGGTTTCTGCTTCCCTGGTCTGAGGGTGAAGAGATGATGGTAGAGGAGTAATAAGCCTTAGTGCTGCTGCTGACATAACTTACTCCTTTTTCATACTAGCAAGAAGAAGAAAGAAGAGGTGCCAGTATTCCATTTCTACTTACCCTACATGTACACAGAGGGAGTGGAGGAGAGCTCCTTGTCTTTCCTTGAGAAATCTGTGATGTATACATTATGAAAGATTTCTGGGGCATCAGCCCCATTTTGTAGCATTCTGTCAACAAACAGGTCTGGAATCAGGGCAGGAATTGAACCAAGCTTCTGTCTTCTGCTCTTGAACCTTGGACAGGATGCACAAGAGTCCAAAAGGTTGCTGCTTCAACAGGTTGAGTACTACTTGGCAGACTGTGCTACCTGCTGCCTCCCTCAACAGTGCCATTAGATTTCATTTCAAGTCATTGTGAGGTTTCGTGTTTGAAACTGGTTTGAGGAATGGAATGGGGCTTTGGCAGTGAGCAGCCCTATCTGACAGGTGCTTGAATGAGTTGTTTTGTGGATGCCAATACCAGCAATTGTCAAATACTTATTTGGGGGATCCTGAGCAACTTGTTTTTTCAGGGACAGTATTGCCACTGCCTGTAATCCTTTAAGTAGGAAAGAGTGATGTCCACATAGAACAGGTGTAAATCTTGAGCTGTGGAAGAAAAGAAAGTACAGGTAGTAATGTCATTTTTCTTTTCTTACCACAATATGAATAATAATGATTATTCTCTGTTTAATAATATATGTGTTGTCTGTCTCAGATTTTTCTTGGGTTTTTTGTTCCCCCCCATATTCCTCCCTTTTTTCCCTTTTCTCACTCTAATGATACCAGTTTTTGTATGTCACGTTTGCTGACTTGTCTGTGTTCCTTATCTACCAGAGTCCATACGACAGCACTACAGACCTGTGTTTGGCGCGCTTTTTTTTTTTTTTTTTTTTTTTTTTAAATAAGTGAATTCTGTCTCCCTCCCATTAATTTTTTGGCTACACAGCAGAAAGAGCTAAAGTATACAACACGAACTGGGCTTGAGCAAAAGATTAATGTGTCTTGTGTTCCATTTCTGCTGCTCTGGGTCAGTCTCAGACGGCTGCTCTATTTTCAGTTGCCAGAGCTGAGGGAAAACAAAATCAAAGCTTCCACACTGCAAGTAGTTACCCAAGATCAGTTCATGTGTAATCTCACTCCATTAGGTGTTTGAACTTTACAGGATCTTTTGGCTGCACTGTGACTTCACCAGAAGACTATGGGAATGTTGTGATCTCGTGCATGTGGATGAACAGTCATGTCTTCTGGGCACGCTTGCTACCACACAGTGGAATTCCAACAGATGGGCAGCTACAGCCACACACGTGCCAGAGAGGTCAAGATCAATGTTAATAGAGAGTCTGATGGCTAATCAGCAGCTGAAAGCATGACTCAAAAGCACAATTCCCTGGTTTGAAAGAGTTAATGTTTTTCATAGGGCTGGTAAATTTTAAAAGTTGTGTTAGTTCTTTGAGTTCTTGGCTAACCTTCAACCTATCATTTCAGTGTGGGTTTGGTACTAGCAGACTTCAGGGAGACTGCCTTTTTGTTAAAGTCTTATGTAAGGAATGGGCTGAATCAGAGCCAGGGTCTGTAGTTGCCAAGAGAGGGCAGAGTAAGGAACTTTCAGAAGGATTTCTGTTGTGAACAGCCTTTATCTGGGTTCCTGCTATCTTCTCCTGAGTTCTTCATCTTTCTCCTGGCCAAGTTTTCTTTCAGCCTATGTCTGGTCATAGAGGGCAAGGTCACTGTGAGAACTGCTGGGTGTGAAGGAAACTTGGCTGAGGGAAGTGCCGGCAGACTGGCAGAGGGATTCTGGATTTTGGTATGAGACCAAAGCAGGGAAGTAGTCATTCACTACAGAGAAAGAGGCCAGAGAAGGCAAAAGATGAAAGGCCTGTTCAAGTCATACTAGTGCATGTCTTACCACTCCTATCCTTTTACGATGCCTGCAGCTTTATTGTTACTTGCTCAGGTAGATGAAACCTGCTCTAGACTCAGCTTTGTTACCGGATTTGTTTGGTAAACACTAAATATGAGTTTTTTTCTCTCACAACCATTTAGTTCTTCTGTTGAGTTTATTAAACTTGTTTTCATAATTAAAATACCATCACTAGACATATTGCTTCCCTGCACAGTTTGAACTTTGCACTGCCAAATTTCTAGAACTGAAATCTAGATCTCCCATACAATAAAGCAAGATACCTCAGTCATGAAATCAGTCTTTTTCCCTAACCACAAGATTAATCTTCAAAGTTGAATTCAATGGTGTCCAATCCAATAAAACCCTCTTTATTTCTAATAAAGAATTTCCCAGTTCTCTCTGTATCTCTGTGAGAAAAGGACATAAGTGGATTCCTTAAACTATACTAGAAATTAAATAACATTGGCAGTAGTCAGTTGGCCCCATATACTCAACAGTTTTAATGTGTCTGTCTGTATCTAGTAGCTCCACAAAAATGGAGACTCTCATGTTGCCATGTTCAAAATGTGGACTGGCTGCATATCTGAGAATTTTGCATGCCCCATTCATTGTTTTCCCACAAATTTCTTATTTGGGGGCAGAAAATACTATGATAAGTATAAATATTCTTAGGTTTTAATACTGTGAGGGCATGTAATTTCTGTTGAGGAGAGTAGTTGAGGTATTGAGAACATTTAAGATATTTACTGAGCTATATGGATGTCTACACATTTTTCTGCTGGTCATAACTAAACTTACAGAGTATGAATAAGGCATCTTCGATAGGCAGTCCTGTACTGAGAATGCAATGTTGGTAAACAAAGAGAAGGGATAATATTTTATACTACAGCTCGTCTGTTTCTCTCTGCTTTTGTAGATGTCTATTCCTTTGATGAAGAGGAGCCGGTTTTAGATCCGCATATAGCAAAACATTTGTCACACTTTGGAATTGATATGCTGCAGATGCAAGTGGTAGGAAATCTGTCTTTTTAGTTTGTTGTTTTGTTGGGGGTGGGAGAAAAAATGGAGAAGAATGAAACTTGTAGCTTGTATTGTTTCTTTCAGACTGTTATGATAGTATTTAGTTTTGTAAAATTCGGCCAGCCAATCTGTGTTTTATTTTCTGAGGTCTGACATGAGTGAATCATTACTCTCCAAACTGAAAATTGCCTTTTGACAGAGTTCCTTTGTAGTCTTTAGTTTACACATTTCACTTCTCATGAGTTATGTGCCATTTTCCTTCAAGATGAAAAACCACCTTCAATTGGAGAAGAATATCTGGAATATTTAATCACAGTGAGTGAAGGAAAGCCTCTTGTATGTGTAAACAGATACAGATCTTAAGCAAAAATAAGCTAATCAGTGGATAAGTAAAAAAATGATTGAAAAGTTCTTTATGCAAAGTTATAATTCAGTTTATGTTAATAAATACATTACAAAATGAAAAAATAAATCCTCTGAAATCTAGAAGACAGTGTGGTCTGTGGTGTGGTACACTAGAAAGACACTGAACCAAAAAGGGTCCTGTTCCTGAACTTGCTGCTGGTCCGTATTAGCAGCAAAGTCCTTTCAATAATTTGTATTTTAGTGGATGTTGATTCCAGTTCTGTTTAAATGATCTAAGGAGTCTGAATGGAATATGGTTATAAAGGCAGGTGTGTTTATTTTTTCACTGAAGAACATAGCCTAGTACATCACTACTTGAGAACCTGAAAACTTCTAAAGATGAGCAAACCTGATACTGGTTTAGTGTATTTCATTGTCCCAAGTGGAGAGAAAACTAATAACTCTAAAATGATAGAGAATAGTTAAACTGCAGTTTCAAAAGCCTTCATGGTACTAATGATATTTTTGGTATACGAATTTCCTTGCCCACGTTATTTTTTATAAATATGCTTTTATTTAGTGGGGGGCTAAAATTAGTGGGGGCTAAAAAAAGCCCCCACTGCTTTTATCCATCAGTCTTTCTGGAAAACCTGTTTTACTCAGCAACCTTGAAAGCTTAGTCTCAGCTCTTGCAAAGGTTTCACCTTTGGTCTTCAGATCAGACTGAAAAATTCTTGGTGAAGTGGTGGAGTAGTGCTAGCAGTAAATGACACTGTAGTGACCTGTACCTACAAGCTGAAAGCTGAGCTGTAAAGGGGAGAAACTTCACAATCACAAATTCTGGCTTTTCCCATTTGAAAGAAGGGAAGAGTTCTTGGATCTGCATCTCTTCATCTGGTTTGTTTGCTAGGACCAGCTTCTACAGCAGCAGATATCCGTAGCCATTACAAATGGAATACGAAACCTCAAAAAATGCAGTGTTTTGATGCTGAGGCTTGAGGTCACAGCCCCGAGAGAAGTGAAGCTCCCAGCTGAGACTGAGGTCACAACTACGAACACTCAAAGAGCCAGTGGTCTGGGGTGAAGAGCTAAGAGGTATATTGGAAGAGGAAGCTGCTACTCTGCTGACCCTGATCGTCTCCTCTACATGCAGGATTTACCTCCCTTTCTCCTTTGGTTTGGCTCTTTTTTCCAAGAGTATGGATTGCAGAGTTGGTGGTGATAGCAGCAGCAGCATAATTGTTGTAAAAGATACACAGATAAAAATAAATACCTTGTTGCTTTCAGACAGAGAATGGGCTAAGAGATAATGACATAAAACCAAGAGTCTCTGAATGGGAAGTGATTCAGGAAGCTGGTGTGAAACTGAAGCCCATGTATGGCCCAGGATACACAGGCATGAAGAACCTGGGAAATAGTTGCTACCTCAGTGCTGTCATGCAAGCCATTTTCAGCATCCCAGAGTTTCAGCGAGCGTAAGTATCTTCAAACTAGTTCTTATCGCTAGCTGCTGTGTTCCTCAATCTCTTATTTTTCTAAGCAAAATGGTATTTTGATTTTTGTCTCACCTGCAAACAAGTCCCAGTCAGTTCTGTGGCCGCTTAGGGGATTTAATGATTGTATTGTTCTGTTCTGGAAAAGGTTGGAACATAAACTCCACTCTGCATTTGAAATCAGAACTTACTCACATAGCTTCAATGGTGGGAAATCATATGCCACCTTGTAACTTGATTGCTCTATCTCTGCTTTTTATATACGTACGTACACATCTCTTCTTGGTATCATCAGTATCACATTAGGGGTTTTGCACTGGCCTTCATAGAGCTGTGGGAATCATTCTGTTGCTCCAGTGTCACTTGTGCAAAAAACTGTACTGGCACAAACATGTTAATACTGATCTATGCTAGCAATGCGCATGCATTTGATCTATGCAAAAGCAATGCACCTTTTGTATGCAGGTCTGTCTAAGAAAAGGGAAACTATCAGAGGCATTCTTAAAATTAAAACTGTGATTAAAAAAAAAAATCACTTCATGAAAATGGCAGTGTGAGCATATTCTTCCACTGAATAATTAAGAGAGTAAAAGGACAAAAGCATTTTTGTTTGTCTGCCTGTCATCCATCATAAGCACAATAGAACAAGAAATATTCCTGACTGATCAAAACTGAACACATTACTCCAAGGAGAGAAGCCTTTGTATAAAGACCAGACTATGGTTTGCAATAAGATTCAGAGTGCTCTTTCATTCCACAGTAGTAGTAGTGTGTGTGCTGACAGTAAGACTTTTAGGTTTGTGTAAAGCCTCCCAGGTTTTCATGTAGCAATTGCCTTCTAGAGAAGAAGAGGGAGAAGACTTGTGTTTACTGTGTTAGCCATATTACAGTCTGTAGATTCATTAAGTGCCAGTTTTTCTACCTGCATTCTCAAAAAATATCAAAATAGACTTTACCTAAGGGAGGCTATTTTCCACAGCATGATCCTTGGAGTTACCTAGAGCACTTAGTATCAATCAAAGTAGTGGAGTCCCTCCAATGAAAGAGGGACCAGGCAGAAATTAGATGTTTTCTTTCAACATGGCCAGACCTGTTTTTCTTGTGCTTGAAGGAAGCAATGCTCAGATAGTGTGCTACTAAATGCTTTGCTTTTCAACAAGCTGGCTAGAACAATATATACATCAGTGTTTGTTGTCAGGAGTTAGCCTTTGTTTCTCTGAAGAAACTCAACGGAAACATTCTTTTTACATGTTTTGGTCCTGATACAAATTTGGAATTTATTTGGCAATGTTGGTTAGGAGTAGACAATATACTCGTTCTCAACCCAGCTCTATGGTTTTGAGCAACACTATCCTGCAGCTATTTCAAGATCAAGGAATAGAATTTAAATTCCAGATGAACAACAGAACCATATCCTTTATAGCTAAAAGCTTCTAAGCAAAGCTTAAATGTCCATTCCCTGATTTCTTTACTATTATATTTCCATGATAGAAGCACTCACCACGGATAGATTAAGCCATTGCTATGATGCAAAATTTAACTTGTTAGCCCAGAGGAAGCCTGCTGATGTATCATTGCTGAGGACTGAGGATCTGTTAGGCTATTCTTGAGTAAATCTAGCTGCAATATGTGAATGTTTCTGCTTTCTTCTTGTTGCCCAGGTATGTGGGAAACCTTCCACGAATATTTGACTACTCTCCTCTTGATCCAACACAAGATTTCAACACTCAGATGTAAGTGACACTTCTCAACGGTTTACTTGGTCAAGTTAAATAGAACTAGATAATTTAATGACAGGGTGGAAAAACATCTTTGCATGGGCTTGAAAGTGAAATATGGCACAAAGTAGAATGGGAAGATTTGCCCGCTTAGTGTCAGGTAATGGTGTTTCATCAGGGGGTCAAAGACAGTAAACTTCTTTTTTGCTTAGAATAAAAATCTCCTCTTCATTTCTGTTTTTCTCACATGTTCATTTCCACCCCGCCACTTTCTTCCCTACAGGGCTAAATTGGGACACGGCCTCCTTTCAGGCCAGTACTCTAAGCCACCCATGAAATCTGAGCTTATTGAGCAGGTGATGAAAGAAGAACACAAGGTATTTGACTGAGTTTGTGCAGCCTGGTAACTAGGTAAAAGTGATATCCTGAGAAAAGGGAACAGGTGCCGGGCATTGAAGAACACGTGTGGATCCAGTATGGGATGCTTAGCAAGGTGGAATGTGCAGGATTCTAGTCAGGAATATATTAGTCAGGGGCTATTTGTGCAAAGCATCAAAGCAATGATTGGTTCCGCTAATAAAGTATCTTGCTGCTTCAGTGATGAGTGCACAAGTTCATAGAACTTGCATCTTATGTTTATCTTCTCTGAGAAACAAACGAACAAAAAGTTATCTTGAGAGTCCTCAGTGTTTGGAAGCAAACTTCTAAACCCTCTTTAAATTTCAGAAAGAAGTATAAAGAGCTAAAGAGTTGTGTCCAGGAAGTGTCTGACACTGTTCCACCTGATTTCAGGAGAAGCTGTCTAGGTAATGCAAGATTAAGTCGTGCTGGAGGCTTTCATGTAGATGGAAGGGGCCATGCAGAGCCATGTCCACTGGGGCTTTATTCAAGTGTTTCATGGTACAGAAATCATGTAGAAGCATGTCTGTGCCAGTGGGATCCATCTTGGAAGCACAGTAGTATATGTGGTTTTGGATTTAAATTGAAACTCTAACTGCTGGACAACCTGGGCAGAACAATGTATATATCTTGATTTATAGTAATTCACAATAGAAAAAAACCTTGGAATCACCTTTGTCAGAATAGGCAATTTCAGAACAAAGGTATACTGAGGGGCAAGTATTGTATAGCTAACATGCTAGACACAAAGGAGAGAGGAATTGGAGGATGAAATAACCTTTTCCCATGTTTAGGTAATACAGAATTTTATTTCTCTGTCATAGTGAGTGTTACCCATGGGGGACTTTTATTTTTACTATAATTTTCAGTAATTTTGCAGAAAAACAGATGCTTAGCTCACAGTATCTAGCTAGTATCTAGCTTCAAGAGCTCATGTATTGTTGGCTCTGTAATCTTCATATTGCCTTTGTGCTGTTCTTCTGCAACATGAAAGTTGCTTGTTTCTCTTACGCTGCAAAAATCATCCAGGTGTATGTTGGCATTGTAACATCCACAGACCTTTGCCTTCATCTGCCTGTGCTTTTTCCTCACCCAGTAATGAATACGTTCACTCTCACAGTCATCAGAAAGTCTCTTCTTTGTCCAACAGTCTTTTGGTTTTAGCAGTAAGGATAATTTTTGATGAAGGCCTGACTGATCTGTTTGTATTAACAAGGTTCATGGGGACTGCTTGATTCACTGGTTTATCATTTTACCTGTTCTTGCTTGGCTTTTGTGAAGAAGAAAAGCTGTCAGTAGCTTAGTGGTGAGATGGTAAAATTTATTCTCTTTCTAAGTTGCTAAGTTTCTATCAGCCTTTGGAGAGTGAGATTAGTTCAGATTTTGCCTCTCTGCTCAAACTCTGCTGCTTTTGGAATTGCCTTTGTTTTCCCTAGAGTCATCCAATTAACAGTTGTCTTAAGCAAAATGTTAGTTATTGGTACAATGTTATCTACCCAAGCAAATCTATTATTTTACATTTGTTTTACTATTCAAACCATCTACCCTGAAACATCTTGTTTAGTGTGATGCTGGGAAAACGACTTAGAATATATTTTTGTCCCTGCCAACCTCTGTTATTGTGATCTCCAAGCAGCATGTGGAGTCAAACCACAGACTCCACAGATGGGATATTTAGAAATGAAAGGTCAACTAATAACCAATACTGAAATAATACCTGTAGAAAAGAGCTGTCTTATGGAGAAAGAATCTCTTATACTAAGTTGTAGTTTTATACACAGTAGGAGTCCTGCATGCTTCTGTCCCAGAATCATGGTGATAGTTTCCATGGAAATGAATATTTTCCTCTACCTTCATCTATCAGTTATTGATACAGAACTTTCTCCTTCTGAAATCAAAATGCTGAGGAGATTTTGGATTGAAGACATAGCATCTCGTACAGAGTAGTTTGTATGATCTGAAAGTTCTATGTCTCCTGAATAATTGCTTTGTACAGTAGCTATTCATTGTTTTGGAACAATGACTGAATCCTGCTTGTTCCCTTTAAATAAAGATTAAAACTTATCAACACATCACTGTGACTAAGGAATAGTGGAATAGATTTCAACAGACTCCTCACATTAAATTATGTATACTGACTGACCTGCTTTCTTAAACGCATACAGGTTATGAATTAAGAATAATGTACCGAAAGTTCAGGGACTTGAACCCTTCAAATAGAGCTACACCTCCATGTTTAGCCCAGCAGCCACTACTAGCAATGAGATACTGAGAACTTTTTAATGACAGATGGTATTCTATAAATATTCATGGTACTGTGTGGAGCTAACATTTTTCACCACAGGAGTTTAGTGTGGAAACGGCAGCAGTTTTCTTGGACCTACTTTAACATTAAAAACAGGATGAAAGCCTTAAGGGTCATCAGCTAGGACTTGATTTTCTGTTTAGAGCTTTGCTATTTCTTCTCTTATTTTTCTTGTCCTTGAGGTGGTTTAGAGAGCAAGATCCAATCTTCTTCTATAGACTATCACACATGGGATGTTTCTCTTCTCCTTGCTCAATTGGTCAAGTAAAAACTGTATAGATGGAAACAAGCCTTGATTCCAAACTCATTGCATTATACATCAGGGCAAATGTGCCACCTTGCCATATTCTTGCTTCTGACATAGAAAGAAGCCTGGTATATAGTAATTTGGATTGGTTTATGCATTTCTCTCCCCGGTCCTAGCTTTGATGAAAGGCCGCGGAGACACTGAAGTGATACGTAACCCAAGTTTCAGAAGTCCCTAGAACATCTCTTTGTTCAAGCAATACTGAGCCTTGGTCTTGTTATAAATGATTTAGTCCCAAACAGGATTCCAATTCAAATTTACAATTTATTAAGCGAATAGAGGCAAGCAAACAGCGCTGGGTGCGCCGGGAGTCTCTGCTCCACCAAGACGCACGTGGTACAGTTCCTGTTCCTGGTTTATATCCTGTCCGTTAATACATATTCATGAACAGGCGTGTCTTCTTCGGCGCATGCCCTCTTCTCCTTCTAGAATTTTCTCGAATCTTCCTCTGCGTGATCCTGTTGGCCAATACATATTCATGAATAGGTGTGTCTTCTAATACATATTCATGAACAGGCGTGTCTTCTTCAGCGCATGCCCTCTTCACCTGCTAAAGCCTTCTCGAATCTTCTTCGGCGTGCCCCTAGGATGACCCCAAACCCTATGCATGCACTTTCTTTACACAATACTATGCGGTCAGTGGTCAAACTGGTTTGAGCTGATATACCAGCAAAGTAGTTTAACTTTCTCCTGTAAAATACCCCTTTTTATGGTGCAGGAGAAATCCATAAAAGTACAGAAGATTACACTTCGTCACACGAATCAGATGAACATATTTCACAGTCTCTTCACAAGAGCCTTTAAAAAGCACCTTAACCTAATGTGGTTGCTGGTGTACTGCCAGGAATTGAAAAAGCATTAAAATTGAGAATCTGATTTCAGTGGGTCTAGAAATACCTTACCTTGGTAAAACCAAACATAAAATTTTGCTCTTTTAGTATGTGTTTTATGTGACTTATATTTCATGCTGCTTTTTCTATTTTTATGTTGGTATGATAGCACAACTGTAGTAATGAGTGACATCGGCTGAGTATTTAACAGCCTCTGATATATCCTAAAGGCTACACTTCTGCTTGGATTGTCTTGAAAATTATTTGGTCTCATGGAGGATGAGGGCAAATCTGAGTAAAAGATTCTGACCCTTTCAAAAGTGTTACTTAAAAGGGACAATAGCTAGTGTTGTCTTGAGGGTGCAGTTTAGGGTGGTTGGGGAGGCTTCCTAAAGTCGTATAGAGGGTGAGAAAGTCAAAACTAGGACTCTTTTGGAAGCTGGAGATTTCCTGGCTTATGGTAGTTCTGTACTTATGTAACTGAATGCCTAAAGGCAGTATGTTCTGGTCCTTCAATATGACCGGCACCTGCAAATTGCAAATTCACGTCTGTTCTTACCAACCCATCTGGGAACGCGTGCTGCACACATTAGTTGTTCTCTGTTTGATTCTGTAGAGATCTCTGGAAAGGTTTTGTCCTGAGTAAAGCTGCTAATCTCTGGAAAGGTTTTGTCCTGAGTAAAGCTGCTAGCTGATATATGAAAGTCCTTCAATACCCACATACTTGTAGGTGGAACAGGGTTCTGAAAGGAATTTCAAATGTTAGAAATCAATGTAGGCTTTTAGGCTTTCTGAAAACTACTAACCTTTAGCAAGCTTTTAGTAATCTCTCTTAACTTGCAAATGCTATAGAAAAATCAGAGTGAATGCTGTAGGAACTAGGTCATAGAACATATTCTACAACTCTCAAATCATGTTTCAGGACTCTCCATTTTTATTAAAATGGAAAACCAGATGAAACTGAAACTAGCACTTCTCCAGTGGCAGAAATGGGCTATAGATAGATGCAATGGAATGACTTTGGGATATTTGGTCCAGGAATTAATAAAAAATCCTTGTTTAAAAGATTTTTCTTTCTTTTATTTAGCCTCAACACAATGGAATATCTCCACGAATGTTTAAAGCTTTTATAAGTAAAGGCCACCCAGAATTTTCCTCTAATAGACAACAAGACGCACAGGAATTTTTCCTACATCTTATAAATCTTGTAGAGGTGAGAAAATCTGAATTACTGCATGTCCCTATGCATTTTTTACCATATTGAAGTCTGTCTTGGAATATTCGTGAATTGGGTATGATTATTATTATTATTCCAAATTTATATCATTGTTGGGAGTAAACTAATTACCGTGTGCAGTTCTTTTACAAATCCCAGCTGTATGTCATTGAATCACTATGCGAGGAAGCACTTCCCTGCTGAAAGCAAAGTCAGTTGAATATTTCTGTATAAAACATTAGTTCCACTGCTCTCAGCTCAATACTGTGTGTAAAAGAATCAGTACTGTGAATTTTAGTACGGTCTTTCCAAAAAGGAAATTTACAAATATATGCAGTTTTGATTTCAAGCATTTATTTGTGGTCCATCCTTCCTCCCTCTTTTTTCCCATTTTCTCCAAGAATCAAGAGTGTTTATTCACGTGTTACAATCTAGGTGAAGTTATTAACATTTGCGTGCATAATGTTCCACATCCCAAAACGCATGTACTGATTATAGGGTGGTTAGAAGACATTTTTCTGGGTTTTGCCTGATTAGCAGACATTAACATGAACAGTAAGAGGAGGTATTTGTATCACATTCCCATCCGGATAATGAACTACAAGTTGCTTGTTCTGTTTCAGTGCAGATTCAGAGTGGTAGATCAATTCTGTTTGCTGAAAGGATGCTCCATGTTATTTACCTGAGCTTTCTATCTTTACTATAACCTGCCACCTTCCTACCTTCTTCTGTTTACCTTGGCTCAGATTCTTTAGGCACATACTCTGCAAGTTACTAATGTGTAGAAAGATGCTGCTGTGTATGTAGACATTGTGGACTTCAATGGGATTCTCTGTGGGTGCAAGAGTTCTGCATGCAAAAAAACGCAAGCTGAGCTGTCAGATCTGGGTGCAAGTTTGGTGTCGTAGTGCTTGCCATAAAACAACCGGCAGCCTTTGGGTTCTCTGCTCATTTTAATGATCATCACTTAAATGATTGGATCTAATATTCCTTTCAGAGGAACCCTGTAGGTTCAGAAAACCCTAGTGATGTTTTCCGGTTCCTGGTGGAAGAACGCACACAATGCTGCCAGTCCAGAAAGGTCCGCTACACAGAGAGGGTGGACTATATCATGCAGTTACCTGTTGCCATGGAGGCAGCAACAAACAAAGGTAAAGAAAGAAACTGGTCCATTGACTTGACCTTCTGGTGACTCTTTCAACCATGAGGGAATGATGTTCTCACCCCCATATGGTCTCCTTGTATGAATAGAACGGTTCAAGGCCATGGGTCAAATCGAACCAATGAACCGATCAGGCGAAAGTTACTTGGTTTGGTTTTCTTTAAAGGAGATTTTAAACACACATGAGTTTGTGGCTTTACTGTCCCTGATTATATTTTTAGGGAAGAAGGATTCTACCTGGATATTTGCAATATTTCAGATTTCGTCTCAGACTGTGGGGCCACCACTCAGGAGGCATATACCACCAAGAATGGTAGCAGTTTGTATGATAAAGATGTCAGACTTGTGATTTAAAACCCTAACCTGGATTTGACCCAGGGATGTACCACACCACTTACAGTACAATTTACTTACCCTTGTGCTTTGTGAGTGTGTGTGCCCAGAGATCCCCATTAGGATTGGATTTCCTTAGTCCTGAAAAGTATGTAAAAACTTCCTAGTACTAAAAAAGGAACTGAACATACTAGCTAATGACTATCCTGTAAAAACACACACATAAAAAATAAATTTAAAAAAAAAAAAAACAAACCTAAAAAGCCAAATGGGCTTTGTGTTCTTTAGCAGCGGATTTTAAGATCTAACCTGACAATAGAGAATAGGGGTATAAGATAGTTTGTCATTGATAAAGCAAAAATACACAATTTTTTTATATCCTGGGCTTGAGAGGAGGGAAGGAAGATGTAGTGGTGGACATTGATTTAATATACAGGAATGATATTTTCATGCCTGTGAGCTGCCTGAGAAAACATACTTGTTTTTCAAGGAGAAAATGTCTGAGGCGGCTAGAAGACTTGGAAGCAGGAGGGAGGCACTGACAAATCTTGGTTGCCCCTGCAATCGGTGGTGGACTCTTGCAGACTGAGATAAATCATAGAACTGTTTAGGTTGCAAAGACCCTTAAGGTCATTGAGTCCAATGATTAACCTAGC